GGGAACAGCTCCAATTTGCACAATTTACTGTTTTTAATACATATCTGCTAACTGATTAAATCTCTTTTACTTGCCATATGTAATCAAGATATATTTTTAAAAGCTGCTTATCAGAACAATAACAATTCAACATCACAAAAAAGCGGCTTATCATAACAATAACAATTTTAACAATAACAATTTTATTTTTTAAATTGGGAAAGAAACTCAATTTCAACAGCTGAGTAAAGATTCACTTAAAGCATTGGATAGTGCAGCTAAATTTCGCTGAGCAGCCTGGGCAGACACAGAGATGTTTCTGTTCAGATTTAAGAGCTTTGAGCCCTCTGCTTCTGGGTTAAGTTTCACTGGAATTGGTCACAGAATTCAAGCACAAACGTGGAAGAGATGAGGTGTGGAAATGCAGTAGCCTCGCTAGCTTAGGCAGCAAGGCTAAAAACAAAGAGGGTGTTTTAGGAGGCAGCTCTGAAATTCAGAAACAAAGCACAAAATGAAGAAGAAACCTGTGCCCTCAATCATCTGTGGCACCAGTAAAAGACAGCAACTGGTACCTGCCCAGTTGTCTCGGGGGCAGCCTGTTGGGACCCCAGGAGTGTCAAATCCTCATTTCCCAGCTCATGCAGCCAAAGGAGGAGTCTGAAATGTGTAGGGTCGAGTTCTCAAGGTTATTTTTCCTTATCTGTAACATTCTTTCTCTGACCTGCCCTGTCTAGAAAGGAAGCCATGGCCATCTGCCTCTCGCCTTAGGTGGGGTTTACATTATATATTCAAAATTACTGTACTATATTTACAATATTGTGCCAATGCCGATCATTTATGTTGGACAGTGTGTCTCTACCTTAAACCAACAGAAAAGTGCCACCATCACACCAAGACATGGAGGGCAAGAAGAAGGAGAAGAAGGTCAGGACATGCCCAAATTCCTCCATCTTGACCCCCTGAATTACATTCTAAAAACCCCAAATTTCTACTTTTCCACCCTGTGTTAATCCAAATATCACACTGCTCAAACCCTTGTGGCTTATAATTCCTCATATAAACTTGGCAACCTTTTCCATGGGCTAAAATTGAAGCCACAAGTATTTTTGACTTTGTGCCAGGGTCTCCAAACCCCGTGCCAGGGTCTGGAGCCAGCCAGGGCAGCCAGAGGGATGTGCTGGGCTCCGGCACAGCTGGTTTGTCCCAGCTGCTGCAGTGCTGATTGCTTGCACTGGGATTTCACCCCCTTCTTTTTACCTGAATTGGAGATTTTCCCGTTGTCAGCTGTGCCTGCGTTTCCTGGAGCCACAAACACGTGTTTGACGTGTGGGGACTGGGCCAACTTCCAGGCCAGGGCGTGCTCCCTGCCCCCGCTGCCGATCACCAGCACCCGCTCAGCCATGGCCCTGCGGAGCACAGCAGCACCACTGCCTCACCAGGGAGCCCAGACAGAGACATCCCACCCACTGCTGCAGGTTCCAGGTGATTTTAACCCCGTTTGTGGCATAAAGGTGCTCGTAGCCACGGGACACGGTGGTTGTGCCAGCAGTGCCACTGGATGGACACAGAATCCCAGAATCCGAGAATCCCAGAGTCCCAGAATCCCAGAGTCACAGAATCCCAGAGTCACACAATCCCAGAATCCCAGAGTCACACAATCCCAGAGTCCCAGAATAATGAGGCTGGAAGAGACCTCTAAAATCATCAAGTCCAACCCATGCCTAACACCTCAACCAGACTATAGCACCAAGTGCCATGTCCAGTCTTTTTTTTAAACACATCCAAAGATGGTGATTCCACCACCTCCCTGGGAAGACAATTCCAGTGCTTTATTATTCTTTCAGTGAAAATTTTTCCCTAATATCCAACCTGCACCTTCCCTGAAGTAGCTGGGGCTGTGTCCTCTGGTTCTGTCAGTGCTGCCTGGTGGGAGAGACCGACCCCACCTGTCTTCACCTCCCTTCAGGGAGTGTAGAGAGCAATGAGGGCACCTCTGAGTCTCCTCTTTGTCTCTATAGGACACGTGAAAGCACAACGTGAGCCACCTGCTATTTGCAAGGTAAAGAAGAAAGTTTATTCCCTGACTCCAACTTTTATACTTTCCCAAAGGTGACAGTGGATTGGAGAGTGAATGAGCCACCTCTCCAAAGACATTGGACAAACCACCAGTACATCAAGTTTCTCCACCCCCATAAAGGAATGCAAAACAATATATTGTTTATAGAAATTGTGTGGGAAAGTTCTCCAACAGAATGTAAACTCAGAAGGCTTTAGAAAATCTTAAGAATTAGGGTGACACCTCTTCTCCAGGCTGAACAGCCCCAGCTCCTTCAAACATCGGTCACATCAGTCACATCTGGTTGAAATGCACACAACAAATGGGAATTGTCCCCACTTGTTCCAGCAGAGTCAAGATTTCATCTCTTAAGCACACACAGATATGAAATAATTGAGTAAGTTTCATCGGGTCCTTTGTACAACTGCGCAGGACAGGAATAAAAGTGTCATACAAATGCTCTAAAAATATATTTTAATATATTTTATATGTATTTATTTCTGAACAAAAATAAAGAAATCTATATCTAATAAACAAGTGGTAATAAAATATATAAGACAGAACTAAGCAATGAATATCTGTATAATGAATAACTATATAATAAATAAATGTGCAAAAATAAAAATGTAATTGTTGATCTTCTTTTCATATTTAATATAAACATATTTCAGACTGAATGCTGTGATTGGTCTAGAAGCTTTTAAGACTGCAATCATGCTCGGCAATAAATGGCAAAGGCAGATTTTAGGACAGATTTTATCCACGGGCAATTGCTTGGAGGACACTTCAGCAGAGCAGCACATTCAATAAAAGACAACTGTTCATCTCACTGGCACACTGACATTTCAAGAAGTTCCTCAGCAATATTTTGTGGCAGATTAGTTTGGATTTATTTCAGAAATGTTATCATAGGTCACATCTGCAAACTTAATTTCTCCCTGTATGCTGCATGTGGACAAATGTCAGAGAGAAAAATGCATCTCTGAATGTGACCTTTAAGGGGGGTGTTAATGGAGAAACCAGTCCCCAGCCAGGAGAGAGATCATAAATTAAAGGTAGCACAGACACCAGCAAGTGCTGCTGCCTTCTCCTGAGGAATCACAGCCCCTGGGTTTAATTCATTGTGCAGCTTCCGAAGGCAAACGGGAGCTAAATGGTGACACTGAGGGAGAATATTCCAAGCAAGATGTTCATAGAGCTGTGATACAGCTAGAATTGTGCTTGGAGCTCCTGAGACAGGATTACACCGCCTTAGCTCACAAAAAAATCCAATTTAACTCTCTCTGTTTCATC